TTGGTACATCCATAGACGTTTCACTAGCAGTGTAATCGGTGATTCAATTAGAGGCACCAGAATTAGGACAGTTAGAAATTCTTGAAGGATCACTTTGACGGACAATTATAAAATTCTAGTTCTACAGTCAGGCACATGTTTACCACTTCCACAATAAAGCAGTCATTAGCAGTCCCAAACCTCCTTTAGCGAAAGAGAAAGCTTAATAAACTTACTTCATCTTGTGTGGTAAAAATTTGGTTATTCATACACAACACAACAACTATCACGTAAATAAGTAAAATTTCCTTTAGAAAATTATACGGTTTTGCTCCCCATTTGGAGGGTATCTTTTAAACTTAGAGACCTAGGACTAATTAGGGCTTTTAAAGCTCTTGCTAAAACTCAGATCTCCGCGTAAAGTCAATACAAATTTGGTCGAAGCTATCAAGAACTTGAATATTGCCAATACCTGTCAGTTTCATATTGTGGTATGAGAGGGGATATCGGTCTTTTGGTATGCATAATACTTTAAATTTCCCTGAGAAATCAAGTCTTCTCTCCACTTAAGCGATTATAAACTCGCTATTACCTTTCATAGCATCACACAAGACTAGCTTATATCATCAACAGTTGCATCTTCATGGCGGAGACACCACATTGAAGGCATTACAGTAGCTCACAAGCTGTGATTTCGTCAAATGTGTGCGATCATTTGATATTTGATCTGAAACCGCTCCAAATTTGGCTCCATAATGACCCTTTCATCTACCATTGGACCTGGAATACCAGTTTTATTCATCCAAGATCTGAAGTAATGATAGTTGAATTTTCCACAATGACACGAGTAGGTTTCCCGTTGCCATTGAATTCCACTTAGCCTTACCTCTGAATGGTATTCTATTCCGGAATGGACTGCAGTCTCGGCGTCGTCTGGGTCTCAACAGCACCTTCAACGGGACTCAACATGCTAGCACCACGACATAATGACACGGGCGCCAGTGAGTCCCAGGACAGGCAAAGCCTTTCCCATATCACATTTGTCTGGTGGGATTCTGGATTAGACAACCTTGCAGTAGCTATTTCAGTCGTCTATATAATAACCTTTATTTAAAAGCTAATGTTAGTTTAGAGACCTACTTAATACAAATATAAGTAATGTAGTCGGTTACAATTGAAATTACCCTCTGGCATTCGCCGTAGTATGGCATGTTGGAAATATGTAGAATGTATACGCTCAGTGCCCGAGTTCGAGTACATTTGGAGGGGCTGACGGGGCTCAGACGGGGTTAAAACTGCTGCAATCCATTCTGTATGAAAACAATTTTTAGGCACCTAGACTAGGTGAAGTTGAAAGAAAGTTTGGGGCCTACTCAAATCATTTTGGGAAAGGTCAACTTTTGGTCCTTCGTCACTTTAATCGACCTAGGGCGAACACAGCCTCTATTGTAGT